CTTCATGGAATATTGTTCTTGAGGATATTTCAGTATCCAGCAAATGTCCTTTTCTTCTTCCAGAGTTCTTAGACTACTGCAGAGTTAATATTATCTGCTGTGATTTCAATTGGGATTCTGCCTGTGTTCTGTTTTGAGATGATGGTTGCTCGATGATTATTGTAATTTTTATATTTAACCTTGTATGCTGTCCTAGAAACATTTCAGTTTTAAGAAATTTGGTTTATACTGATCCTAAATAAATAAAGACCATGGTTGGGGTCTTCTGGTATTGTCATGAGTATTGCTGCCAATTTATATTTGTGGATGGATCTTAAAATTTGGCGAAGTTTTCCTTGGTGGTGTCTGTTTGTGTACGTTGTTGGTGTTTTTGTATGTCGTAAAGATGGCTGATGAACAGGTTGGATTAGGTTGGCCCAAACTGATAGGAATTGTTCTTCAAACAAGTTGGGAAAAACTGGGTTAATTCAATTGTACATGCTTCCTTGAATGGATATCTGTTTGCTTTCAGTATGTGTTCAGTTTTTGTTTTGTTTTTTAATTTTAGCTTTGCAGAACACTCCTTGCTGGACTTAAGTACTCGCATATCTGGCAGCTTTACTCTTCCTTTGTCGAAATAAAGCTCTTACCTACAGAAACTTATACATGACATGTGTTAGCCCTTAAGATGTCATGGTACACTCTCTGACTGCTGCTGCTGCTGCTGTAAAAGGCAAACAGCAGCACTTCTTCTCGAATACTTGGCTTTTAGTTTGGAGTTTTGAAGAAGAAAAATAATTGTGCCTTACATCTCACTGCTGTCTTGTCCAGATTTGTTTGCCATTAGTGTCTGATGCACGGATGGCTAAGCGCAACCTCTGTTGAACAGGAAGTCAGAAGTCCTTGTTATAGATGGATGGGATGCTGCAAACTGTGTACAGTCACTCATAAATCTTGCTCTTTATGCATTTGATTAACGTCTAACAAGGATTTTGATGGATGGCTTTGCAACGAATAATTAAACACTGTAAGACCAAACATGCATGGCCTTACTTCATCCTCAGGCAAATATGCCTAATCACTTCAGTGGGCAGAAAAAAATGGGATTGAGTAGCAGCTCACATGCATCTATCCCCACTGACCAAATTTCAGTGTGAAACAGAGTGCCAGTAACTATTTTTATATCATCTCTATGTCTCTTTTCATGCAGGTGAGATGCTGGTTGCAAGATCTACTGAGAGGACAGATGGGAAAGTTTAGACACTTAATGTTCAGAATCCTATTGGGAATTTACTTTAGTATGTGTGTGACTTAGAATGCGAATGGCAACTTTTAATGAGTGGCAATTTGTTGCTATGATTTAAGCAATTGTACTCCACACTGACATAAATCCCAAATGGTATTCTGGCCATTAGGTGATAAATTCTGAGTTTTGTTCTGTGGAGCTGGTACAGAATTGTAATTAGAAAAATTCTGCCAAAAAGATTTTTCTTTTCTTAAAGAGAGATTTCCAAAACTAAGCATTTACCTAAAATGTTAAGGATTCTTGGAGGAAGAAAGGCATATGATTCTGGCAGATACGGTGAATCAGAAATATAAGCAGGAGCTTCATGGAAAGGGTTCAGGTTCTGCATTTCTTCTTCCTCTGGTCCCCCTCCATTGCTGCCTGACGGGCAAGTTGCATTCAGGAGGTAAGGCGTATCTTCATATTGGGGCCAGTGTGTAAGTGCATATGCCCCCAACCATTTACGCATGAGCACATCAGGGGCAAGGCTTGTCCTCACAAAATCCACATGTTTGAGAAAGTAATCTATGAGTAATCAACCACATGTTCCTATTGGGAGAGTAAAAAACGCCATTCATTCCAGTTTTATTAGAAAATCATAGGTGCTCATCCAAAGAAGAGTAAGAAGACTCAAGTGGATAAGATAATTATGCTGGGAAAAGCTGGAGGCAGAAGGTAAAGAAGAAGACCAAGCAGGAGATGGATTGTCTGAATGAAGAAAACCATGGATTTGAGTTTGTAAGAGCTGAGCAGGATTGCTAATGATGGGATATTTTGGAAGTCACTCATTCATAGGGTCAGAATTGAGTCGGAAGCAAGTTGATGGCATTAACAACAAAATACATGCTTAAACAAAAGTTTCTGGAGGTAGAGGTGCAGTGCACCTGGCCCACTTGCCTCCCTGATGCTCTAAGCTTTTTCCTTCCTGTCAACCTGATCCTGTTCTTTTATGCTGGCTATGAACAGAGATGGTGGTGCTATTTTATTTCTATTGTGTAACAAGGGAAAGGGTGCAAGACAGTCTTGATGAGACATGGAATATTCTCCTTCTTGAGTTTTGATTCAGTGCCCATTCAGTTGTGTTTGGTTACCATCTGACTAGTTCTCTCCACCTTTCTTTTGTATATATAGCTGTGCTCTCGCCCTAGCACCTGCAATGTGTTATGGTTCTTGTTCCTTTTGCATTCTCGTTACTTGTAGGGCAGTAGGCATGCTGAATATATAGCAGTCTCCTGCCTTTCTGCCCCAGAATGTTTCTTTCAAACATCTGGAAAGACCTTGAGCCATCCTGGACATTGAATGGTAGCATCCCATGATAGCAGAAGGTTCACATGACGGGGTCTTGTAGCCAGTTCTAGCTTTCTAATGTAACATGAGTGTAGGGCTTGGAAAATGGCTTTGAAGACAAAGGAATATAAGGACATTTAAAAATATTCTATAAAGGAGCAGTGATAGGAAGATGCTGTGAATATCATCCTACTACAGCTCAGTCCTAGGTGCCTTCAGCATCTTATTGGTCTTCAGAATTATTTTCCAAGTTCTGTGCGAATGTGTTTCTGAGACCTTTCACCCTCCATTTTCTCACGTTATTTTGCTAGCATATTGTAGGTGTATGCCTCATTAATACATGATTACCTTTGAAAAGGAACAAGTTAAGTAAGTAAGTAAGTAAGTTGTGGTACAGAGAAGAATAGTCTCATGCTGTAATTTTCATGTTCTGAAATGCAGATGCATTAGAAGTCTCCTTGCTGTGTAGCTCTGGTGAGATTAGAAGGATAAAAATCAAGTTATCTTTATTTAATTGTGTTGTATCCTTTAAAAAAAAGAAGAAAGAATTCTCAGTTGTGCCTAATTAGCAGTTTGGTACTGTTGGCCTGGTTGTTATTTCATGCTAATTTGTTTAAATAAGATCCTTGCTTCACTGATATGTTCCACTTGTTACCTACAGTGCTCTTCTATTAGGTTAGGCGGCTTCCTAGCAGAGTGGAATGTGGTAACCAATCATCCCACAATGCTCTTATGAGCCCCAGGTGTTGTCTGTGCCCTAATGTGTGTTGATCAAAATTAATTTATTTTTCTGCTTTTTTCCCTGCCTCATCTTTCAATCAGCTAAAATGGCTGAGTGAAAATGATTGACTGCACAATTCTCCTTTCTCTCTCTAGAACACGTGCATCCTCTCTTTATCGTCATCACCATTGTAAACCATGCAGACAGTGTGTGCCCTATAGGGTGGAACACAAGTAGAAATCAAACATTCAGTCACTCAATCACTCAATCAGTCAATCAATCAATCTCTGAATGTTATTAAGTCTTAGTGACTGAGGCAGTCTGCTATAGCTTAGGGGCCTTTAATGTAATGTGCAATATAATATTAAAGCATGTGATGTTCTTTTATTTAACATTTTAATATAAGGTATATTTAAATTTTTTTGAATAATTGATTGTTTTATCTCTCTCTTTTAATGATACTTTGGGTGTTTTTATCAAGAAGAGCGGGGGGGGGAATATTCAAAAAAAGTAGTACTGATGTGCAGGTGTTGTGCTGCCTTGATCATCATCTCATGGTCTTCCGAAGCACTTGGAAATTTTTGGGTTTGCCGAGAAATCTCAGTGAAAGATCCTCTTTTCTCAAATCTGCCATACTGAGGGTTCCTGAGAAAGAAGGAGTGATGATGGACCAAAACTTCTTTGGCTCTAGTGTGAATAAGCTGTGTCAGTCTTCTGCAGCCGATAAGTGCTTTTCAGAGGCATTTGGCCTCATCATAGGTAAAGGTAAAGGTTCCCCATGACATTTAGTCCAGTTGTGTCCGACTCTAGGGGGCGGTGCTCATCCCCCTTTCCAAGATGTAGAGACAGTGTTTTCCGTAGACAATCTTCCGTGGTCACGTGGCCAGTGCGACTAGACACAGAATGCAGTGACCTTCCCATCAAGGTGGTACCTATTTATCTACAGTACTCGCATTTTACCTGCTTTGAAACGGCTAAGTTGGCAGGAGCTGGGACAAGCTAAAGGCGCTCACTCCGCCATGTGGATTCGATCTTACGATGGCTGGTCTCATCATAGCAGACTCCTAACTTCACATATGCATCTGAAAAATATGCTAAGGGGATAGCAGGCCATGCCTGTATTTTGAGGAGACTAGGGCAGCTGTTTGCTAAACGTGTCAGCATAATTGCTTTACCGAAGGGGGTTCTGTGAATTCCCACCATGACAGTGCCTTCGACAAGACAATGCTTTCTTCTTGATCTCTGTGACTGTGCATGTGGGAATCATACAGAAATGGTTTTGGAATGTTTTGCAGCTGAGTATGTTTTTGCCAGGAACCCTGACCTCGCCTTATTTGCCACACATGCCTGTACCACTGGTTCTCTCCATTCTTGGGACCCAAAACATGTAACAGTTGGCCTGTGTTAAATGTTTAGTAATGCATCTCTTTTGTCGTTAAAACAAAGTTCAGCTGAGAATGCTTTGATGTGGCTTTTCAGCTCTCTCTCTCTCTCTCTCTCTCTCTCTCTCTCTCTCTCTCTCTCTCTCTCTCTCTCTCTCTCTCTCTCTCTCTCTCTCTCTCTCTCTCTCTCTCTCTCTCTCTCTCTCTGTGTGTGTGTGTGTGTGTGTGTGTGAGAGAGAGAGAGAGAGATTTATCAATCAGTTAAGTTTAATTTAAGACATGTTTGCAAAAATCTTTGAATGGATCTCTTGAAATGCAGTTACAAAGCAACTTCCTTTTCTCTCAGATGCTGCTCACCGAGTACTTGGATATGAAGAACACACGGGCATCTTCAGAGCCATCAGCTCAGCTTAGTTATGCCAGCTCTGGAAGGGAATTTGCAGCATTCTTTGCCAAGAAGAAACCTCAGAGGCCCAAAACCTCTCTTTTCAAGTAAGTGCCGTTGCTCTTTTCCAAGCTGTGTTGAGTCTTTCCTGGGATGCAACGTAATTTTTCAGGACTTCCCCCCCCCCCAAAAAAAAACTTAATTTAGGGAGGTGAACCAAAAACACTTTTGAAGCGTGGAAATCACACAGAGTCTTGCATGCATAGAACAGAAGGCTCTCTTGCTTGATATGTGGACTGGCATGGTGGAATCCTAACTGGAAAAGCGATGGCTGGAAGAAGAAGAGGATAACAGATGCCTGAGCTCTGATGCTTTTGAGGGCCTGTTCTGGTTCCTTCTGGGGATAACAACATAAATCTCATTCATTCTAGACTGGAGATAGTAAGGCAGAGAGGGAATAGGCAGTGATTCCTGTTGATAGTTTAAAAAAATTGTTGGCACTGTCCAGACTCTACCTCGGAGCACCAGGGACAAGATCCAAAGGTGTACTTTGGCATCCAGGGCCAGTAGAGTAAAGAGTACTTCTTTTCCCTTGCTTTCCTGTTATGCAGGGTGCCAGAAAACAGGTTGCAGAATGTTTTCCAGCTCTGTCTTGCTGGCTTTTCAGGGCGTTGAGACGGATCTGATGGAAGAAGAGTGGGTTGTTCATCCTAGTGGAGATAGTGGAGTCCAGCAGAAGCAGTCCAGTGGATTATGGCCCAAGTACCTTACTTTGTTTGAGAATTGATGGCATCCGATCAACCGAATCTTCCACTTAGAAAGGGATGAAAACAGATGAAGTTGTTGAGGATGAAAGGAAATGCCCAATCTGTGTTGATGGCGACATTTTTTTCTCTTGTGATTTATCTAGAATTTTGTCCTTGATCCACTATTTGTTCTTGCTTTGCTGATCTTGCTGTAAATGCTCTTAATCACCACTTTGATTAAGTCATTATCTTTTAGGCGGGCAACTTTTTCCCCCAACTGTAATGATTTGAATGGACTTTATCTTGTGTGATCAGTTGTTTCCTTCTGCAAAAGGATGTGGTGCATGTCTGTGGGAAGTATTGTGATAATGTAGGCAGCTGGTGCAAGATTTTAGGGACCAGAGGAACAGAAACACAGAAACTATTTGGACAGAAGAATGATACACAATGACCAAAATCCTGTTGGCGTAAAGTTACAGTGCAAAAGTTCGGTGGCATCAACCAGCAAACTCAATATTTAATTTAAATGTATTGAAAAGCTTCCTATCTCTCTCNCCCCCCGTTTCAGGTTCTAAGGCTTCCCAGGGTTCCTTTTTGCCCTAGGAAGTCTTTGAGAGTCTTGGGATGGTGGGAGGTGGGGGTCGCTTTAATTTTAAAAAAAAAACCCACACTAGCCGCTGAGTCATTGGTAGTCTCTATCCTAGCAGTAATTTTTTACTATTAAAGACCCCTGTCCCCTACTAACCTGAAGGTCCCGAAGGCTTCCTCGGGACAAAAGGGAGCCTAGAGCGCCTTGGAATCTGAAATGAATTTCAATTGATTTAAATTAAGTATTTTTGACATTGGATGTTGACATCATCTGGCTCGTGCAGCATAAATTTTGAATGCCTGATGGACAGAATATCTCTGGCTATTCTAGAGGCCAAAACACCATCAAACCATCTTGGATTCTTTTTCAAGAGAAAGATGGGATAAAAATATTTTGAACAAATGAAATAATAAATAAATAAAACATGCAGGTAATTTAAAGCATTGCTTTTGAATTGTGGTGCTGGAGGAGACTCTTGAGAGTCCCCTGGACTGCAAGGAGATCAAGCCTATCCATTCTAAAGGAAATCAACCTTGAGTGCTCAATGGAAGGACAGATACTGATGCTTGAACTCCAGTACTTTGGCCATCTCATGAGAAGAGGAGACTCCCTGAAAAAGACCCTGATATTGGGAAAGTGTGAAGGCAAGAGGAGAAGGGGACGACAGAGGATGAGATGGTTGGACGGGGTCATCGAAGTGACCAACATGAGTTTAACCCAACTCTGGGAGGCAGTAGAAGACAGGAGGGCCTGGCGTGCTCTGATCCATGGGGTCACAAAGAGTCGGACAGAACTTGATGACTAAACAACAACAAATTTAAATTCAGCAGATACAAAAGACCGTAATATCTATCATAAAAATACACAGTAGATTGCAGAAGCTGAAAACAATCAAGAAGAACCAGGAGTTTAAATTAAAATATAGAGACAAAAATTCAGAATTTGAAAGAACTAGAACAACAAATCCTGACAGAGCCATGCTTTAAGAAGCTGCAATATAGATGGGTTTTGTGCACCTGCTATCCTTCTCCCTCCCCTTCCCTTTGTATGAGTGGTGAAAGAAGCCGGGTGTTCCCTGAGTTAAGAAGTACGGATAATGCTTTCCAGATAAGCCAAGATTCAGAAGCCAGTTTTTGAGTGCTTTTACAAAATACATTCAACTCCCAGTTCCTAAACAAATGGTTTTTGATTCAAGGCAATTGATAAAATCAAGCATATCAGTCAAATCTGTTTCTCAAGCTTATCTTCTTCCATATGTCTGACGAAGTGGAGGTGTCCATGAAAGCTCACAATAGAATATAATAAGTCTTTAAGGTGCCACATGTTTTTGTCGTTTTGTTTTGCTTTGCTTCTTTGGATTTTGCCTGATACGATAAAAATCAAAACAGTTTTGCATGTCAGTCTAATAGGACGAGCGTGTGCTGTGAAATGTGTTAAGCTAATTATCGTGGTGATGTAGGTTAAAGATAGGATAAAAGTTTTCTTCCTGCTTCTGTCTGTGATCCGGCAAAGTGGTACAGGGGTGGGATAATAATGGGCTCAAGCTATAGGGTGCCAGATTTCGACTGAATATCAGGAAAAAATGTCTTAACTGTTAGTGCGACAGTGGAACCATTGACTTTGGGAGATGATTAGTGCTTCAATGCTGGAGGTATTCAGGAGAAAATTGGACCACCATCAGTCAGGTCTGCTTTGATTTGGATTCCTGCCTTGAGCAGGGGGTCAGACCCGATGGGTTTATAGGCCCCTTCAAATTCTATGATTCTGCCTAGTGGTTCTCTGGGAAAAAATACAGTTTTCTTCCAAGATGTGACATGCATTCAACGCACGGTTCAGTGTTACAAAAAGGCTGCCATCACACAGTTGGCATTACACAACTTGTGTCTGGGATGCGGTCACCTTTCTGCAATTCCTGCTCAAGTTACCTTGGACAGATAGACCTAACATTGTCCTTGACGATGCCATGTTACTCCCATCCTCTGTAGCTTGACATGTTAACACGTCGGCTTCATCGCTCACGCCCTCTGTGCTTATTTATGCCTGATGAAAATGAAGTAAGACATAATTGTTTAATCAGAAGAGCATGTCTCTTGTTGCTCATTCTTGTGTCATCTCTGTCACTCTAGTGACAGCCTTACTTGCTGGGATCCTCTGGTTGTCTTATCTGTCAGCTGTCACTGCATCTGCAGAGATCTCCCCATTGAAATGGCACTTTTCCACCTGTCGAAAGATGTACATGTTTGATAATGCCTCCATCATGCTGTTTGTTCTTTCTTTGTTATTTATCTCACCAGAGGACTTGCCTCCCACCTCTTCCCATTTAGTGGAGTGTCCACCTGACAGCAGAACCTCTGCCTTTTACATCCCCTTTCTTGAGTATTAATCCAGACAGGATGGGGGTGAGGCTGGACTGGTGGGTCTTTGGTTATTCCTGTACTTTTAGGAGGGGAGGACAATTTTTTTTTTACAAAATCAGTTATGCTGGAAAGGACTGTGTTTCCAATTCTGCCTTTTACACAAATAGACTTTCAAGGGTGATGGAAGTACAAAGAAACTCTCCAAGGCACAGCTCTGGGTGGGTGGTCGTGGGGGTTGAAAGTGATGGGGGTGGAAGACCCCATACATGGAGGGCAACACTTTGGGGGGACATTTATGATCAATCATTACATCTAAATACGGCCATTGTGATAGAATGTGATGGTTCTTGACCGCTGGTGGAACGCTGACATAGTTACATGGTTTTGCATAGCAGTTCCTCATAATTTATTCACCCCTAGTCCCCGTGTCCAATAAATGCAATCTACCTTCTTCTGTTGAGCTTCCATGTAAAGGATTTTCAGGCTATTGCCGTTTGCTGTGAGAAAAGTAACTTGAACACTCTGTGCTTCTTCTAATGCCTCAATCCATCTGCCTATTAACTTATAAAGCAGAACACTTTATTGTGAGTGATGAATCTAATAGAATGCTCGTAAACATGAGAAATGGCCTCAGAAAAGTTGGTGGGGCTCAAGTTCTTTGATAGGGTGCTTGGTGAGCATTAACATAGAAAAAGATGGGAACCAGTTATGTAGTGAACAGACTGTTGAATCTAGACTGTGGATACCCAGATTTAAATTTCCACTTAGCTATGAAAGTTAGTCAGTTGCGTGTTCAAAGAAATGGTTGAAAGGAAGGTTCACTGCCTGCTGTATTGAAGGCATTGCCAAATGGTTACTGCCTTTGAGGGCCAAAGTGTGATGGAGATGACCCAGTCTACAAGTAGGCATTGTCTAGAGGGGCGAGGTAAAAATCTAATAAATAAATAAATACCTTCCATGGCAATCTTTCTCTAACGTAAAAATGTCAGTGCACACTTAGAGTTCCACCCACACCTTCTCTCCCTGCGCTCCATCCATTCAAATATTTTGCTAGCAGCTTTGTTATCTTTCTAGCGTTGGAGCCAGAACTCTTAAGCGGGAGGACATGGGAGAATTGTGAGATCAGCCCTGCTTTGGGTGTCAGAAAGGACTACCCAAATGGCCAAGACTGTAACAGATCTCCCAAGGCAGGGTGTCTCTCTGTATCGTTTTTTTTTGGGGGGGGGGAAATGCAAGAAGAGGATGCAATCATTGATGTGTCCTTTTGGCAGGTTTCCTGTAGGCAGCTGGTTGGCCACTGTGTGAACAGAATCTTTGATGAGGGAGGACTTTGGTTCGACCCTGCCTGGATCTTCTTGTGTTTTGAAAAAGAAAAATCCTTTGCTCTGCTTTATACAGGGACCTACAACCAAACATTGCCGCTTGGGCCTTGACAGCAGAATAGATTGCGCAGAATGGTAAATAAAGGGGAGAGATACAAGGCATTTGCAGAGGTATGGAGATATTTAGGTTCGATACGTCACTTTTCATCTCAAGAATGTACTGCTGGTATACGATGCACCCTGTATTGTGGACAACCTTGACTCTGAAGTCTAGAGCGAAAGGCTGTTGTTGATACACTGTGTTTCTCATTACAGGTTTGAGTCATCATCTCACGCTATTAGCATGAGTGCCTATTTACGGGAACAGAGGAGGGAGCTGTACAGCAGGAGCGGTGAACTGCAAGGTAGGCCAGAGGAATTGGGAAAGCACAGCTCAACCACTTGTGGAATGCCTGTTGCTTTTTTACATGGCCACTGGAAGTGGTTAGCCTCTAAGATATAAATCTGAAACAAATCAGAATGACATTTGCTGATCTCATGTAGGTAACCAACATTTTTAAAAAGATTTAAAACGGAGATGTCAAAACTTTGTTTCTGAAGAACTCAGTCCCATCATGTATTTTGTGTTATGCTCACTGAATATGGTTAAAACGCTTTTTTTTGAGGTTATTTCCCTCCCCTCTTTCTTGATTTGAGACAATTCAGAGTTTACTGATCAGCATTTTTTTTTGTTTTTACCCCAAACTGTTGACTGTGGAAACTGCTTTCCCCCCCTTCCACAAAATATGTCTTAATAGTTTTAAACTGGAACAGTTTTGCCTTGTGTGTGATGACATTTTTATTTGATCTCATTAGATTTAGATGACATTTTATTTTTAGTTGTATGGTTTATTCATTTATGTATCATAAGCGGGGAGATTCGAATGTTTCTGATGATCCTGAAACATAGATTTAGTGCTATGTCAACATGCGGTTCTAGAGGCTTGAGGTTATTTCCCTCCCCTCTTTCTTGATTTGAGACAATTCAGAGTTTACTGATCAGCATAAAACAGTCCACAGCAGCTACCCTGAAATGACAGAAGGGGTCAGGTAAGGTGGTCAAGGAAAGAAAGTGGGAGGTGGAAGAGGCAAAGCCAACTCAGAAGTAAGCAGGTGCTTATTGTATTATCATGGGAAAGTTAGGGGGGATGCCAATTAACAACACTCATTAAAAGCCATGGGTCCAAGGAAAACCAACAAGTGCTGCAAGAGGTGAAGAAAGAAATTCCTTTTGACTAAACAAGCATCTTATATATTTGGAACCTAATAGGTATAAAGTGGGCTATTGAACAACTGAAGTACATAATATAGGATAGTTCCTCCATCTGTGTACCTAATGCACTCCACATAATGGCTCCACACATCTGAAATGAGGAAACAAGATGGCCATTGCAGATATGATGGCATTTCCTGACTGCCTCGAGCCCTAGCAGCTCATTTTAAGCCATGAGATAAGCAGGGAAGTCATACAAAGTGGTGGTGGTGGTGGTATCACGGAAAGGGACCCTGGCTTCCCCTGCATAATTAAAGTACATACTTTGCAAGCAGCTTTCACCGCTTACATTTCTGCATTAAAGGACCAGTGAGGCCATGACAGCGTAGTCATTTGCTTGAACATCTGCAGGGGCACTATTATGGCAGACAGTGGCTGAAATCCTGTTGTGTGATTACGTCAGTGGCCTAATTTTGAGCAGTAAACTGCTGTAAGTTGAGAAATCTCTTTAGGCATTTTCTGTTGCATAACTGCATCAAGTCACAATTCTCTGCTAAAAATTGTACCTTTTATTTAATGGTGCAACAGGGTTTCAGCCAGTGATAAACAACATAAGAGGGGAGACCACTAGAGAGAGTCTTGGCAAAAAATGTTTTAACTTGGTTCCAAACCTACTGTGTTCTATACCAGCCTTTTCCCCTGAAACCAGGAGTAGCCAAAAATCCATGCTTGTTTTTAAATACTCTTTGTTTTTCACAGTCATAAGAAGCAAAACAAAGTGCATTGAGGCTGTGCACCTTGGTTTAAAGGAGAATTGTTCTTTCTGGAGTATTATTCTCCACATTTTAACAAGGGGGCATTCTGGGGTTACATGGGGTTTGGGTGTTATGTATAGCTTACCTCCTCAGCTAGAGTGATGGGCAGATAAAAAGCAGCTTTCTGTATTCATCAGAATTTTTATTATGATTCATGAAACACCATCAGTATACATCAGGGACAGACAAAGACATTGCAAGACTACATCTCCCATAAGCCCTAACTAGCAGAGCCAAGATTGAGGAACACTGGGGATTACAGTCCAAGAGGGCATTCAGAGGGCCACATTTGCACATCCTGATGCAAATCACTCTTCACAGTTGCCGCTGTTTCTCATGATTACCTTTCTCAATGTAATAAACAAAAACAATAACCAGAGAGCCTTCCATCAAAAGTATTTTCCATTGCAAAAAAAAAACAAAAAAACAGAGAGGCAGGATTGGTACAGGTGGGAGGAACGTAAGATGCTGTGAAGGTGAGCAAATGCAATTACACAAACACTCATTTTGGTTGGGGGCAGGTGTGTTAATATGTCAAAGAAGGGGTGAGCAGCAATTAAAGCATCAGCCTAATAGGGAGAGGTGAGATGTTGGCTTTGCCTTGATAAAAATGTTCACGTATGTGCGTGTTCACATTTTTGTATCCTGTTGAATTTACCGTTAGAACTCTAATAGCTTTCCTATTCGTTACACTGATAGTACAGTTAATTCTACCAAGCGGCAGGGGCTTCAAAGAGCTGCGTCGCACAACTGTCACCTTTCTTGTAATTAATCGAATGCCCTTTGCATGGCAGAGACGATAGGATTTAATTACTGTCGCTACTGGTGCCCCCCATGGATTCTGTCTCTGCCACAAAAAAGGCAGAGCCAAAGCGACTCGGAGGTGGAGGCCCGGAGTATTTAGAGGAACAGCCAGCGATGCTGTCTTGCTGATCAGACTTCCCTGCACCGAGACGAAATCTGGAAAAGGAGCATTTACGCAGCTGCCAAGCGAAATGTTGCTGGGTGGTGTTTCCTCTCTAGAGATTCCCCCATTGCTTAGAAGACAATACATTTTTTAAAAATTTTGTCTCAACTGTTAATTTAGTTTAATCAATCTCGAGGAATTGAAAATATGGGGCAGGGCCAGTGGGGAGAGGGCTTTCTTCTTCTTTGGCTAGATCCTTCTGCAGGAATTCTTGAGGAGTAGGTTGCTTCAATTTTGCAGTGTAACCCAAATAAAGAACATTTAAGCCTGTTATTCAACAGGTTGAGGTACACCTAGCCAGAGTATGGACCTAGTGGGATGTAGTGAGTAGACTGACAGTCTAGAACCTCTGGGTTCAAATCTCTGGTTGGCCTTGGAAGATCGCTGGGGGTGTGTGGTCTGCAGTGGTAAAATTGCTAGTCAAATATCTTACTTAAGGTCATTGTAAGTCAGATGTGACTGACAGCACATAACAAATTGCAACCATTATATGGAAAGTTACTTTTAAAGACCAATGTCTTAGAATTCCAAGACACCCAAATCTATGTTCTTCTTCTACTTCTTCCTCTCCTACTGGAGGTTGGGTAGGATCATGTCTCTTCTGACTTTGGGTGTGGCAGTTTTAAATGATAAAGTTGTGTTTCATCCAAACTAGTCTCTCAGATTCTTCTGCCAGCAAGGTATTCCCACACGTGTTTTACCTTTAGCTGGGACCTCTTAAAGTATCAACAAAGGAACTGAAGTTTTTCCCCAAGGAAATTCTGTCATAAAGAAACGTGTAGGACTTAAAATCCTGATCTGACTCTTTTAGACCATGAGCTACACATACCTGAACAAGAACACTCAGCTTCCCAATGGATTTAATTGTTGGACCTGAATGGACTCTGTAATGTTTGAATATTTAAAGTAGTGTGATATTGTAAAGAATACTGTATTTTTCCATGTATAAGATGATACTTTTGTCTAAAATCTTTAGGCTAAAAATTGAGGGTTGTCTTATACACAGAAGTAAGCCGAGGAGAGAACCGCACAATTGCAAAACTGCCCATACCTTTCCTCTGCAAACAGGCTTCCTACAGTCATGAGCCTTATGTAACTGATGTCAGCTGATGCTGAACATACCAGTTGGAACACACCTCATTGGAGGTGGAGCATGTTGGCAGTGCTCAGATGCAACAGGGACTGGTAATGCTCTGAGCCCAGAGGCTGAATAAAGTGATATGCTCAAAGCTAAGTGTGATGCATAATATGACAGTACTGGTATGTGAATGTTACCTAATTGCTAAATAAAATGTATTCTGATTTATTTTTAAATTTTTTATTTCTGAATTTATGGTTGGAAAGGGGGGTGTCTTATACACGGGGGCATTTTATACATGGAAACTATGGTATATAGGTACTGTAACGAATTCCTATTTAGCCGGTCTGCACGGGTTGCTTTATTTGGGTTCCCAGATTCTTCAGCCAGCAAGTTTGTCCCACATATCTTTTACAAATTGTTTTACTTTGAATTATCAGCTGTAAAAAATCGTTACTGTTATTTTTTATTATGTGCTCAAAGAAATTTAGCTTTTTCTTTCTTTCTTTCTTTCTTTCTTTCTTTCTTTCTTTCTTTCTTTCTTTCTTTCTTTCTTTCTTTCTTTCTTTGATTTCTTTGATTTCTTTGATTTCTTGCTCTTTATTCATTCTCTTCAGTATTTCTTCACTGGTCACCTTCTTGAGCCAAGAAAATTTGTAGCATTCTACTGTATTAATTCATAGTTGCTGTTTCTCAAAGTAATTTATTATCACTCTGTTCCTCAAATGGACACCTTTTAGTTGTACACAAAAGAGCATGATTTAGCTTCTGGCTCATGTCTGCTCACACTTAGTGAACCATATCCAGTAACTATAAAAGTGTCTACAAATTCCAGTTACACTGCAAAATGAGTAAATTCTTTCCTTGTAAAATTACAGTTGTAGCATAACTTAGTTATACTTTTGTTATTGAAAAAAAGGAATCACAAGTAAGTAGTTATTTTTAAGTAATTACACCCAGCTCTATTGGTTTATGATAGGGGAGGGACATGTGTGGCCCCTGATGTAACTGATCCTGTCAGCACTAGACAGCAAAACTTATGGTAAGGAATGACAGGAACTGTAGTTCATCATCATGTAGAGGGATCCACTTTCCTTACTGCTGGAATATGGCCTTTGTATTGGGAGGCGCAGTCTCTGAAAAGGATGATGGTGATTTGTAAATTGATATGAGAAGAACATGTGAGTTCTACTAGAGGAAAAAGTTCTCATCATCCTTGTCAGCATAATAATGAGTGCTCATTGATGCCTTGTAACCCCAATCACATCTATCCTCTCAGGAATCCTGTGCGG